ACTCTTAAACACCTCCAGGGATGGGGACTCCACCACCTCCCTGGGCAGCCCATTCCAACGCCCAACAACTCATTCTGTAAATAAATACTTCCTTATATCCAGTCTAAACCTTCCCTGGTGCAACTTGAGGCCATTACCTCTTATCCTTGGCCATTACCGCTTGTTACTTGGTTAAAGAGACTCATCCCCAGCTCTCTGCAACCTCCTTTCAGGGAGCTGTAGAGGGCGATGAGGTCTCCCCTCAGCCTCCTCTTCTCCAAACAACCCCAGTTCCCTCAGCCACTGCCCGTACGACCTGTGCTCCAGACCCTGCACCAGCTTCGTTGCCCTTCTCTGGACACGCTCATAATTCAATGTCCTTTTTGTAGTGAGGGGCCCAAAACAGAGAGCCCAAAGCTTGTGGCACCTGTGTGTCACAAAGGCCCAAAGACCTTGGCTGAGTTGCTCACTGACAACCCCCAATAACACCTGTGATAAACCTGGTCTCTGATGGTTACTTTTGTCTACCTTGCAGACATCATAACTGGAAAGGGAGACACCGGAGAGTCGATTTACGGTCCCACCTTTGAAGGTATGTTTCTGCACAAACTTGCTATCTTACTGTGCAAATAGTAAATTTCCACAAAAATCAAGTTGTTGACCTGATCTTATTCACAGAATAACCTGGGAATTTCCTTTCATCTCCCCAAAGCAAAAGGGTTTGCTTTTCAGTCAGAATTATTATCTGCTTCTATTAGCATGAGCAGACTGTTTTAGTGAGGACACTCTTTGATCTGTAACCTTAGACACTTCCTCTGATGTCCCCTGCCCGAGGCTCAGCTCCACCAGCCCCTTCTCCCTGTCTAAATGAGGGCTGATGGTCATCCACTGCCTACTTCAAACTGCAAATACTCACCTTTGTGGACAGGAACTCAGAAATGTAGAAGTGGATTAGCTACAGATCTCCAGGCACAGACACCACTTGTTTAAATGCATTCAAAGCAATGGAAGAAAGCCAGTGTTAACTCTGGATTTCCTAGGTCTCAGGCAGATTTTCAGGCTTGGGCACACCACAGGCATCACTGGCTACATGACTCTGCGGATGTAAGGGGAGTTACTGCTGAATTCATGTAAATCCATGAAAGTCAAGAAATGACAAACACAAGCTAAGTTTAACAAAAAATGTTCCCCCATACTGGTATAAAGTAATAAAATGTAAAGGAAAAAGAACATTATAACTTGCAATATTTAAGAAAAACAACCCATATAATTGTCGTAGACATTTGGGATCTCCTGTTTAGCTTAAATGCTACCCATAAAGATGTTTTATGACAGTTAAAGCACTTTTGAAACTGATTTATGATCCCTTCTATAAAAGCATTCCCACTGCCAATGGCACAAACGAGGTGACATTTGAGCAGGCTGGGCAGCAGCCAACAGTGAGATCAGAAACACCAAGTGTAGCTGAAAACTTTCTTTCCCAAGATGCTGAAGAACCCATTTGCGAGGAGAAGCCACTCTCATCTCAAGGTCCTGGGATGGATGGAGCAAAACCCATCCAGAAGCAGGTCGCCAGCCTGCTCTGTCCAGCTGGGTCACAGCGCTGGTGGGCAGAAAAGCTGCTGGGAGTGAAAGCCCGTTGTGAGGGATCTAAGGCAGTAAATGCTGTGGGCTGCCTGGAGTGGGCAGGAAGGGGCAAAAGTCACTTCTTTGATGCTGGAGTTCCTGAAATAGCAGCAAGCCTAGACTCTTGGGAAACACACATCTCAGAAAAAAACATAAGCTGGTATTGGAAAAAAAAAGTTAAATTGTTTGCAAGGCAGATGTCACCGAGGATTTAAAAGTTTGTGAATCCTACACCCTTGGAACTTTCTGTTTGGATAGAAATCGTCTGCAGAGGAAAACGAGTTTGAGCATGCATAGGCCCCTGTGCATACAGGAGAGCTAGGCCCCACGCTCACTGCCTGGGCTGTGGCACGAAGCCCCAGCCCAACATGCAGCATGTTGCTCCTTGGCTCCATCCTCCCCCTCCAAGCAAAGATTGTGCTTTCCCTGAGCTACCCAAGAAAGAAGCTGCCATGTCACGTGCGAAGGTGACAATGCATCAAAAATCGCTTAAGTAATTATAAGGTGGATTTAATTTGGAATCTGTCAACCTTGAAAGTGTCCCTGGAAGAGTTTTATTACCCATATTGCACATACTCCATGTGTTGATATATTAAAGGAGAGGATTGGTAATTTTTCCCTCCCCCTTCTAAATTAAAAGTTGCTTTTCATCTTTGAGAAAGGTGTTCCCTTGGGTATGCCTTTATATTTTAAGGCTTAGATTGCTTTCCCAGTACTTCCCGCAAAACTATTTTACACTGAGAGCAGAGGACAAATATCTGTGATATCTGAAAAGGGTGAGAGATGCCTCTGTCAGACAGTAATGTTCTGGGAGACTCCGCACTTGGCACATGTCCGGGCACTGCAACGCTTACTGAAATTAATGGGACGCAACTGCATTTTACTGTAATGAGTTGAAAGGACTGAGGTAATTACAGAGAATCACTCGGACCGAAGCGCCGTGTCATAAGACAAAGCATCCTACTCCAAAATTAGTCTGCTGAAGTAATTTTGCAATCCGCAAAGCAGCGGTCAGGGAACAACTGTTCAGTTAAAATTTAATTACCATTTTTATGAATCAGTTTCTGAGAAGGGCACTCAAACAGGGTAAAAAGAATTAAAAAAAAAAAAAATCAGAGAACAATAAAATCTGAATATTTCTTCAGTTTCCTCCAAGCTTGTTGAGAGCTCAGTGGGGGTCTTGACTGCTCAGTGTGATCAGGTGAGAGACAGGTGACAGGGAGGTCTGGATCAGTGGACACTTCGTAGCTGGGCTCCTCTCTACAGAGACGGAATCAAGCCCTTGCCATCATCCCCCAAGCCCAAGCACACCTAATGCCTATACTTCCCCAGTCATCCCTCTTGAGAGCTGTTTCTTCTCTCCCTCACCAGTCAATCCTCAGCCAGCATAAAGGATCTTCTTCACCTCCTTGCAGCTCTCGCTCCCATCGCCTGCCTCCTTTCCTCTTCCCAGAACAAAGCTTCTGGGAACTTTCACTCTGGGAACATCCTGACCTCCTTAACTAAATATCTGCTCTCCATTTATTCAGCTCTCTCATTTTATTTGGTTAAAGAAGTTTTCTGCTCGCCCTCCCGTGCAAGTTGCCAAGCACTGGGAGCAGCCGGGCATCCCACCCCAACCAGGCACATCCTCTGCCCTCACAGCCCTGTCTGTGCTCACGGGGGATCTTGTCCTCTTCACCACAGGCAGCAGGATGAGGGGAGGCAGAGTGGAGGCTGCGCTTGGAGCATCTGCTTTGCCTCCTGCCTTCCTCATCCATACAGTGGGAATAGTCCCACAGAGCTGTAGGGAAATGCCGTGCTAAGTGCCTGAGCTCTTCCAGCAAGAAGCATTACAGACCGACAATGGGGAGCCAGAGGCATTTTTGCTGTGGCTCTGACATTCAGAAATACCTGGAGTGCATTTTCATGGATATTTTTAATTAGCTTCTTTACTGGCTTAAGCACTAGGCAGTAGCAAGAAGCTCTTTCTAGGAAGGACATTGATTCAAACCAGACTTGGCTCGCATGAAACTCAATGAGACCTTTGGGGAAAAAGGAGAAGGGAGAGCAGGGTAGAAGGGGAGCTTGCAGGAATTGACAAAAGGGAGCTGTACAGTGAATAGCTGCCAATACAACTGCCGCCTTTCATGCCCCAACTCTTTCCCTAGATGAAAGCTTCTCCGTCCGTCACAAGGGAAGAGGGATCCTTGGGATGGCGAACAAGGGCCGCCACAGCAATGGCTCACAGTTCTACATCACCCTCCAGCCAGCTCCCTACCTGGACAAAAAATACGTGGCTTTTGGGTAGGTAGACCCAAGTTTGCCACCACTGCGCTGCGTGGGAGGTCGCCCTGGCCCCGCAGGCCATTGCTGTCTGGGAGGAAGCATCCATGAAATCCCTATGGCAGCTGCAACATGGATGCCTCTGGCCAGGGGGAGGATGGTTAAATCAGATTTGAATACCTAATGACACCCATCCCTCCCTTTCTCTGCCCTGGCCTGGCATGTTCAAGCTGCAAAACCCTATGGGAAAGCTTCCAGGGCCTCTCCCGGATGGTGGCTGCAAATCCACACCTGTGTAGCTCGATGTCAGCTGAAGGAGGGCCCTGACAGACAGGGCAGTGTTGAGCAAAGCCTCTGGGCTCTGCTCTGCCCTCATGAGCTGAAAAATTATTTTAGCAAGCATGTGCTGGGAGTTTGTTCTTAGTAGGTTAATGTACAGGGCTGTCTCTGTTAAGATTTTTAGATTTTCAGGAATGCAATAAGGAAGATTATTGCTCTTAGCAGTTTCCTTGATGTAAGAGAGCAAAATATATGTATTACCACAGAGAGAGGAATTCACAGTGTAGTCTCCATGTAACCACATCATGGAAAAAGACAGCGTTTTTAAAGGAACTTAAAAGCATAACTGTCTCACAGAGAACAAACCGAAAGCAATTGCTGGTTGGATACATTTATAAGCAGTGGCATTCACCTCAAGTTTCTGCTTTGCCACTCGCTCTGTGTAATCTGAAAGGTGCTGGATCCATGATTTTATAGCCAGGCCCTCTTAAATCTGAGTGGAAATTTAACCCTGAGGGGGCAAAAATTAGCCACGGCATATGACGAGGACAGACAGACACTTTACAGCCCTGCGCTGGCTCCGTCCTTCTGATGTCCCTGCTTGGGCGAGGGCCGCCTGCAGTGTCCTCCCCACCTGGTACCACTGTGCAGGATGGGATGGGCAGGGTGGGATGGGATACGCTCACAAGCTTCCCAGAGCACTGCTGGCATCCACCGCCATGCCGGCGCCTGCAAGAGGCACTGCTCGTGCTCCCACAGTGTGGGAACCGGACAGGCTGAAAATCATAAAGACTGCAAAATCTTGGACCGTTTTCAGGATTCAGACTGGTGCTGTGAAGGAAAGAAATGAAAGATATTTGTCGGGGAGTCACTTCTAATACTGTCACTTCTGACAGTCATTTGTAGCTGGGGCACATGGTACAATGCTTATTTCTCTAAATAAATGTAGTTGCATAAAGCCATAGTATTTTCACCTCTCCTAAAATGCCAACTAGAGGCTACTTAATCAAGGACTGATGGCATTTGCAAATCCACTGTGAAGAACAACTGTTTAAAGAGCAGAGTGGGTGCAGCCTGTCAGTAGGAAACTAGTGCCTGGGTTTGTTACGGCCCCATACAAGCTGGAGGCTGACGAGTTGTCTGTGGACAGAGATGGATCATATGTGCACTTTCTCCCTCCCACAGGCAACTCATCGAGGGCACAGAGGTCCTCCAGAGACTGGAAGCTGTACCTACATATAGTGAAAGGCCTACAGTAGCCTGCAAAATTATTAACTGTGGGACTTTTGTGCCATGATCACCAGCTGGTTTTCCTGCCTGCTGTAAAGTAGAGCACCATTTTCCACTCAGCTTTTTACAGATCTTGATGGCCTTCACTTAAGGCAAAAATAAAAGCACTTCTTGCATGTGTGAATGGCTTGGAAACATTCTTTTGGCTTAAAAAAGGTTCATTAGATGTTAAAAAGCATCTTTACAGAAATATAAAAAAAGACTTGTGAATGTATCTCAGTGCCAGTCTACAGTTTATGGGAAATGGTGTTAATATAGTGACAAAGAGATGATATAATGCATATATGGCTAAAGCACAGGTGGACAGATGGATACACACCTGTAGGAATAAAGCTAACTGTTCCTGGCTAAATTCTGCTTCTGCCACAACCTCCACAGCACAATTGCCCTGCCAGGTTTGCTCAGATACCAGACATAGTCTGCATATGGTAACTCAGACATCTCAGAAGAATGGAGGAAAAAATATGTCTGCAGGACCGCGGTCTCTCTGAATGCCAGATCCTGCACTGACTTCTATAAACTAAAAGTAACGCCCTTGAAATCAGGTTGGGCTGCATCAGGCTAAAACTAGGATGTGCTAGAGCAGCCATAAGCTTTAAGTAATTATTTTTTGGCAGATGGTCTCAAATAACAAAAACGTGACTGTTGCCACTAAAATGGAGAAAAATATTGCTCATAAAATTACTGGAAAAACAGGAAATTTTAAGTTTATGTGTGGATGCAAATATATAATACACAATGATTGCGAAGACAGTGATTTCTTATGTCCAAGATCTCGCTGATGTACAGTGCAGAGCTTGGGCATGGATAGCTTCAGCAGAGGATGGCAGGTAAGCATTAAAAGAAGATGTGTGGAAGATCAAAATGCAGCCTGGAAAGAGAGGCTGTAACCAAGTGCATTGGAAGTTCAAAGGAAAGAATATTGGATCCAGATACAAGGCTAAACCAGCCCTGCTGTGCCAGGGCTACGTGGACACCGTCAGCTGCAGCTCTCTCGTCTTTATTTTCAGCGCTGCAAAGAGCCCTGTGCTGAGCGACCTTTGCTCCTTGGCTCATTGATTGAACCACTAAACCCCACAAAACACCAGTGTAAGATGGGAAAGGCTGAATTAGAGAAGTATTAGGAGAGACCTAATTTTGTCCAAGCTTAAACTGTTGGATTTCATGAAAAGTAACTATCTTATTTGCGAAATGAGAATGAATTTAACAAATCAGCAAATGTTTAACTGAATGCCTGAAGAGGGCATAGACCTACAGCAATCTCCACATGTTCTGGGTGAGTATAGAGATTGTCTTAATTTTAGCAAGGAGATTTAGGTTTTTTCTTATGGTACAAACCAAAAAGATTCTCTAACCTAAAATAAATTTACATGTCTGTAGCTAGCTAAGAAGCCTTTAAGAGATTTTATCCTATGCTCTAAAGCATTCTACAATCTATACATAGACTACTATATAGGAACTAAGTCTTCTGTAGGAACATTTAAAATCAATTAAACTGCCTAGAGAGTAATAATTTTCACTTCATACTTCTGGGTCAAAGATTAAAATACAGTGTTGTGTTTTCTTTATAAAATAACACATTGAATGACAAATTGCTTTTCCTAAGTAGTAGAGACTACCACTATGAAAGGATACGGCTTCCAAACTCAGTTTTGGGATGGGGGGTTAGTGGCTCTTATTTCTTGCAAGGATTTTAAATTATATTCAGCTGTTTAAAGATGATAGTCAGAAAGTAATTTTAGTTCTGCAGGTTATAAGGGACAATGCTAAAAGACCAATTATTTATTTTTTATTTGCTGTTGGCTTGGTTGCCCACAGAAGGTCTGCCCTGTAGCATGGCTGCACCCCAGTGTCCCCAGTGTCTCACAAGGGACCAAGCCAGAGCACAGTGTGTACTTTAAGCCCAAACAACCTGATCTGAACAGCAGTCAGAGCCCAGAAACTCACACTCAGGCAATGGACAGTGTTCAGGATCCCTCAGGACAAACAAACACCTATCATGTCAAGTATCAGAAAGATAATCTTGTGCCAAAAGTCATGTGATGGCTGTTGTACAACATACAGGGTGTTGTATGCTCGGGATCTAGGAAAGCTGCGCAGGGTGACTGGGCAAGGGACAACTGGTTGAAGTTACACCACATGGAACACATTATAACAAGAAGAGGAGAGTACAACCAGGAAATATTTTGAATTTCAGGCATAATGATTCTTCAGGCAAGCCACAATTACTGTATTTGCATTGGTCACGACAGGACACTCTGCCAGAAAAAATGTGGTAAAATCTTTCATCCGGTATTAAGGAGGTCACCAAAAAAAAGTGTGTCTTTCAACCCTGGGCCTGCAAGTTGGATATGCTTAAGGAGCCCAAGGCGATGATCAATGAAACAGCAACGGAAGAATCATCTTAACCTCAATCCAAAATGATGTTTTGTGCCATATTTTCTACTGTAACCTACATCTCTGATCAAGTCCCTAGGAATGCATTGCCTCCTCTGAGAGAGCCAGACCAGAGAAGTGGTGTGCGCAAGCATCCAGAGGACACACAAATCTAGAGGCAAGCCAAGGGGTCTCCAAAATGCCGGGAAATTTGGGGGCGATCTGCAGACAGGGAGGTGAAGACTTGCATTGCCAACTGCTGGTTTTGGAGAAGTTCCCTTCCCAGCAACCATAGAAAGAAACTCCCTTCTATAAAGGGCAATGGCAGCAACCTGCATCCTGAGAAAACTATTATCTTACCAGATTACACAGTGGTTTATTTATGTAATGTGTCACTGCTGGAAGAAAAATTGGTATCTTTCAAGTTTTGCTTTATTGGAGTTTTATGCTGAGCTTCTTAATTCAGCAAAACACTCTCTTAGAAACTGCTCTAAATGAAAAGTGATGAAAGAAGTCCTCAAACTACATACAAAGTTATTTTCTTCGTACAGGCATACGTGTTAAAACCACAAGGACAGTGTGCTAATAAATTATGGACAGTAGGATTCAATCATTACCCCTTACTAATTCAAGTACCGATCAGACAAATGTTGGAGGATGAAGTCATTAACTACGATATAGTTTACCTAATCTGAGGTCAGAGAGTTTCTGAATCTGATCCCGGAGGGCTGCCAAGGCCGATAGAAATTGTTAGTGTGGCTCCTCAGCTACATAGGTACTCTGTACTTATCTGAGGAAGCCCTGGGACCTCTGAAGTATATGTTCATTTTAATTGTATCAGGTGCACCTTAGACAACATATTTCATCTTCTATAGACCAGCCTCTCGCTCCTTTTCAGACTATCATGGCTACAGCTCTTTGCTATTGCCCTTCATATATTTATTGCTTGGGATACACTTAATTAAGCCACTGCTGGCCCCCAGATGTACAAAAGAGTTCCTGTCACCAATTTCAGGAAGAAAAAAGGTACTCCAAAGGACCGGTTTTGGAAAGGCTTTACCAAAAGTATCAACTATGAAGTGTATTGAATGGATCAGAATGATGTGATACAGCTATTGCATGAAGGAAATGAGTAAGTGGAATGATTTTACAAACTTAATAGAAAGAATCATGATACTGTAATTCTGATAAGGTTGAGGATGTTAAGAAGCAGTAATGAGTGGGCAGCTCAACTGAGCTCAGTCATGCCCATGCCTCAGACGCTGTGAGGGAAGAAGCACTGGTCCAGGTCATCAGGGTGCAGTGAGAGCCGGAGGCAGGTTAGTGAGACCCAAGGCCAGGCACAGGCAAGGCTGCGACACCCAGGGGGTTGCCGCTTAGGTGGGGGCCAGATGCAAGAGCCTCAATCTAAAAGCACCTACAGAGAAAAAGTTGGGGAGCCCCTGCTAAGGTTTCCTCCTCTTGAAAAGCTCCCAGGCTGACCAAGGCATCTTTTATCAGCCACACAGCTAAACGCCTAGGAGCAGGGGGTACACTCCTGCCCTGACACAGGCCAGAGCCCACTGCTGTATTAAATCATCACTGACAGAAAAATGCATGTTACAAATACAGTGTATGGATGTACTGTTGCAGGAAGACTCCGTCTAAACATTACCCTGTTTTTCTCTGGTTGCCTAAACCAGCCTGACCTTGTTCTGTGGTTGGTCCCAGCTGAGCAGGTGAAATGTTTATTTCCTTCCACCTCATCTTGTCTCTACCTGTTGCCTTCCATTCTTCTTCTCAAGGCATCTCTCTTTGGCTTGCCTTAGGCTAAAAGCACTGGCCTGTACCACTGTCTCTAAAAGAGCTAAGAAAAACCTTTTAGCATTATTACATCCTCACTACCACTCTGCATATGTATTTATATATAAAAATAGATCTAAATATAAACATTTAAAAAAATATATATATTTAATCTGTTTCTTACATTAAAAGCAGCCTTTCCACCCCACCAGCTTGGGCTGAGCAAGTGCCTGTACCACAGCACGTGTGAGGGGGCACCCGACACAGCTCCACCTCGCTTGTCTCAGGGAGGTGGCAATGTCCTCACCCAGAATTTCTGCTGGGGACAGTCACACGGGCACCTTAAATGCATGCTCAGATCTCATATGGCACAGCACGTGCAGCCCCATATGCGCCTTGGGGCTGTGTCCAGCCCCAACCAGACACTCCTTTAGAGTGGGATTTACTACCATACCTGTCTCACAATGCAAGGATTGACTAAGGTTACAAAGCTCTGAGCACAGGAATCGATGCATGATTTCTGAACAATTACAAAGGCACCAAAATCCAATACTGCACTGTTATGTAATGGTATAAAATAGCCCAAAACCTCTTTGGATGGTCTATTTTCCTTGTTAAAACATGCACCATGTATTTACACTTCACATGTACTTCTCTTTCCTCACAGGTGAAGTGACAATTTGTAAATGAGAACAAATGTTTACAAATGGAACCAAATATATGTTCCCTTCAGATTATCTACTATTTTTTTTTGTTTTTCATTTATTGCTACCATCCCAAACTGCAGTACACTCCTCTGGAACCTCTTCAAAAGCCCCATTATCATATCTTGCCAAACACCAATTGATAGAATGCAATCTGCTGCATCCTGGGCATCTACTACATTTAAAATGCGTTTCCCTAAAATGGACATCTGCAGACCCTTAGGTTTCACCCATTTTTGCCAAACACTTTACATAAATTTCCAGTAATGCAGTGCTTGGAATTCCTTATAGATTCAAAACTTACTAACCACTAAGTATATAACAGTGCAATTTAAAATGAATACAGTGATGAATGTGATATTTTAAGCCAACAACAACAACCCAGACTGCCATGATCCTGCTGACTCTATGTTACAACAAAGTCTTGAGATGCTGACTTTAAGAAAAAACAGACAAACCACATTTATCGTTCACTTGGATTCCCACCAGTCCCCAGGATTACATGATAGACATATTTTCACTCACTTGTGGAGACATGCTGTAGCTGTAGTTCTTGCTGTTTTATTATGTACTTCATTTTCTCCGTTTTTCCATATATATGCACGCTGATTAGAGTATTTTATCAATCACATTTAACGTCTTTCCTATTTGTTTTCCGTCTCAAAAGGAGTGATTTTTAGTATGTAGTCCTCATGAAATGCAGATTGCAGCAACCGTGACACTTTATGTGTCTAGCACATCAACTCAACTGCCACTGCATCCCTCATAAAACACTACAATAACTGCTGAAGATGTGTTTAATATCATAACCCACAAGAACTGCAAAAAGGAAAACCTGAGTTCAAATAATGCCACCTGTCTAGTGAAATCACAAGAGATCCTGTGAACCAAGTCCTGATCCCGGTACGAGATCCTTGTTCCAGAAGGACATAAAAATCTCTGCAGGCATGGCCAGGAGGGATGAGTGGAAGCCAGAGGAAGCTCCCATATTCAGTGCTCACTGCAGTTTCGGTTACATTGCAGTATCTATTTATGCCACTCTTCAATTTATTTTTCATGCTGCTTATTCCAAGTTAGAATGGAAACATAGTATTTTAATAATGAATGTGAAAATTTTTCTCATTAAAAGGCCAGCAACTTCAATCATACTGCGGGAATAACTGAACTATTTTACACTAACACTCCAGTAAAAAGTACACGCAGAATGCAAGATAACTAAAGTGAGTGTGAGACTTCAGTCACTTTTCAGAAAGTGACACTTTCACACTTCATCACTTTTCAGAACTAAATTCAGATGTCACTGACATTTACGTCCAACAAAACATGTTTGGTCATTTCACTGCAGCTGCTACGAGGTTCCTGTTCATATTGCAAAATTGATTCTCTGCTGCTTTCTTTGCAGCCCTTTTTTTATATTTTCACTCTAAAACTCCTTTCCGGGAAGGCAAAGCCTTAGCCGTCCTGCCCACTAGCCAGAACCACCACAATATATGACAGTACAGAAGCCTGTCAGAAAGCTCTATACCCAAATTATGTATTACCAACAGTCCTACCGACCTTTCTGGAGCTCACACAGTAATCATGATAGGTAGCTTGCCTTAAAGTTTCTGAATTTGTAGTGGTCTCTTGGCTCTTGGCAATAAAACACCTCCATGAAAGAAAATAAAATGGAAGATTAAGCTAGGGATTTATTTGGCAGTTTCTCTTTACTGCCCAGTCCAGCTCACACTTAGGAGAAACAGGGGAGAATTTTCCTGATTATAACTCTTTCATCTGTCCTTTCAGTCTCACGGTGTCTTTCTCAAATCAGGACCATACTAAAATGTGCTTTATAACTCTTGCTTAGCTCTCCTTGATTACAAGCAGGCATGAATGTTTGTCTTGGTTTCCCAACATTTGCCTGTATTGGGATTGCACAAAATGTTGAGGCAGATTTACACAAATTTTTATTTGTAGAGTCCAGTGCTGACAATATACATTGACTCTTTCTCTCTTCTGTCCTTTTTTTTTTCTCTAAGCTGCCTTAGGGAAAAACAAAGGACAGAGAAAGAAAGAAAGGAAAGAAAGAAAGAAAGGAAAGAAAGAAAGAAAGGAAAGAAAGGAAAGAAAGAAAGAAAGGAAAGAAAGAAAGAAAGAAAGAAAGAAAGAAAGAAAGAAAGAAAGAAAGAAAGAAAGAAAGAAA